AAAAAAAAAATCCCCTCTGCAATATTTTTGCCCCAGTATTCTTACAGCTACAAGTAACACTTCAGTGGCTAGCTGCTATAAATGTCCTTTCAAAGAATCATTTCCAAATTGCCTTGAATTAGAATGTCAAGATCATTTTTCTTACATGAATATTTAACAAATTACCTGGGACTTGGAGAAGGTTTCAGCCCTTTTTTGTTCAAAAGAACGAATTTTAGCTTCACTCATCTTATCTGAGTCTGCCAAAACATAATGTCTAGGAGAGTATGACTCTGACAAACAGCTGAGTAACCTCAGGATTTCTGTTGTGTGCCCACCTGTAAAACAAAGCAAACTGCAATTAGTGTGTGAAAAATCTCATAACTTTCCATTTCTTCAGCTGAATCAGTCACTTTTCACTTTGAAGCACATGAGTATTACTACTACCAGTGAGAAAGGATTCAATCAGAGGATGGCTGAGACTGTTTACATAACATGGAGGGAACTCAGCTCCCAGGGAAGTGATATTGATGGATGTTTTCCAGTGAAATGGGATTGAACCAGGGTCACACAGGAGTCTGATGTTTGTGTTTAATGTCCTGTACATGGTGCAGAACAACCAGGCACAGAGTGACACTGTGCTCTGCACTCAAAGGCCACCCCATGGGGTGATGGCCAAAATGCAGCTGGACAGGATCTGGCTCAGAGCTGCACCTTGGAAACAGAACTGCCACTGACCCTGCCCTGTGCCAGTGCTGTGACCTGCCAGGGCAGGGGTGTGCTAGCCCAGCTCATCACACTGAAACCAGCCAGGCAGCAGGGTCACCCTGCAGCCACAGCAGTGACAGCCACAGCAGTGTCCCCCTGCAGCCACAGCAGTGACAGCCACAGCAGTGTAGCTGCTGGGTGCTGACAGAACAAACAGTGCTGCTTCAGGCACTGCTCTGAGCACTGCCCTTGAAGAGGCCTTCACAACCTTCTAACTGCAGGGTCACTCTGTCCCAGAGCTAAACTGGCACCAAACCAGAGAGAAGGGGAGGCTGTACATACTGGGCTTTTTGGCAGCTGGGTAAATTTTTGGGGTTTTTGTCATTTGAGTTTCCTGAAAAGGAGATAGAGGGATATTGTTAGAGTGGAAGGGGGGGAGAAGGAAGATTGTGTGTGTAGTAAAGTGGAGCAATCTCACCTTTTATCGGCTGGACTGCATCAGACCAACATGAAACCAGACCCATAAATACATCGTGTGTTGACTGGATGTGTTGCTTTTCAATCTGCTGGAAGTTGCAGACCAAAACTAGTAAACTGCATGTATTCCTACACCTCCTGCTGTTCAGGGTCTCTAGGGCTCCCAAGAGACCTTTGCTGCACAGGTTAAACACTCACAGCTGGTGATCAACTGCCAACAAGGAGAGTTTGCACTAGCAGTGCAGCATTGCACTAGACTTTGCCACCTTTCCATACAATTTCATGTGGTATTTTTCAAATGTGTTTGGAGATATTTTCTCCTGAGTGGTGTTTGTTAAGGTTTCACAAATTTTAATGCAATTAGCTGAGCATTCACAGGAGATTTCTACTTACAAACCTCAAAGAATAGGCTTGAACATTACGTGGATCTTAACTGACATGTATTATTTCACCTCATAGGCTTATGTACAGTGGAAGTATTCTTTTAATACAGACTGACTAGATTCCAAAGGACTGAAAGAAAATACACACATTTCCAGCCCTAGTGGATGTAAAGATGACCTGAGGAATTACAAACCTGCCAGTCAAACTGAGATGCAGAGAGATCTCACGATTATTACTCAGTTGGTGTGCAAAAACCAAAGGGACTCAGGTGCTGAAATCACAGCTGACCTGTATTTGTGAAGTGCAAATTTTCAAATAATTTTTTTAGAGGTAAATTAATTGCCCATCAACTCTGATAACAAGGTAACAAGGAGTAGCAGATGTGTACATCCCCTTTAGCGAGGGGTGACATTTTTGTCTCTGACGGATCCACGTGTGACTCTTGTAAGCAGATCACAGCAACGGGGTTTGGGCAGATTGCAAAATGCCACGTGTGTGAGGGGTGAGCCAGTCCTTGGAGCGCCGTGCCCTGCATCGCCGCAGCAACCTCCAGTCAGGCCGAGCAGCTGCACGGCTCAGTCCCGCACCGGTGCTCTCGGTACTCTCATCGTGACTTCGGTGAAACGCGCAACAATGACTCAAATAGAGAACCAAAACACCCAAGGGCGGCCCCGAGGACACCCGGCCCGGCCCGGCCCGGCCCGGGGGCACCGCAGGAGCTGCCGAGGCGGGGCCCCGGCACCGGCTCCTGACACACACAATCGCGACTACAACTCCCGGCATGCACCACGGTATACGGCAACGTTACGCTATCCGCTCATCGCGCTGCATGGCGGGACTGGTAGTTCCAGGAATCTGGAGCGGCAGTATAGGGAGCCACTCGCTCCCGCCGGCGGCAACCGCCACTCACCAGAGCCGGCCACCACCAGGAGACTGAACGGAGGTGTCTGCCGACCGCGGCGCCTCCTATCCAGGAGCACCAGCGGGACAAGCAGGGAAGAGAGGAGGAGGAGGAGAAGGACCACGACGACGGGCAGCTCCTCCATACGCGCCGGAGGCCACCTCTCGCGGAAGCGGCAGTGGCACCTCCCCCGTACGGCGGCCGGCGCGGTTCAAACCTCCGCGCGCTCTGAGCGCGATGGTGACTCCCGGGATGGCAGGGGCTGCGGTGGCAGGGGCTGCGGGCGGGCGGGCGGACGGGGCCCGGGGCGCGGTGATGCGGCGTGAGGGTCTCCCCATGTGTCCGCCCGGTGCTCCCCGCGCTTCCGAGCACCCGCTGCGCCCCAGCCGGCGTCCCGGAGCTGCGAAATACCGCCGTAAGCACGGGCGGAATGAGGGCCCGCAGGCCGAGCCTGCCCGCTGTGCACGGGCTGCAGGAGCTGAGAGGGGCCTGCCGGCTTTAGCAGGGGCTGCAGCGGGAGCCGAGAGAGCTCTGCCGGCTGTGCCCGGGCTGCGGCGGGAGCTGGGGGCTGCGGCGGCGCCGGGGGCCGCGGCGGGGGCCGGGGGCCGCGGCGGGGGCCGGGGGCCGCGGCGGGGGCCGGGGGCTGCGGCGGAGCCGGGCGCTCCGAGACGCGCACGGATGGATGGATTCCTGCGGGAGCATGACTGCTGTATGCACTGATACTGATCCAGGTACGTCTGCTTACATGCAGCTGTAATGTTACACAGCCTACAGTAACGCGTAAAATAAACAATATTAACGTTTCACTGCCTGTCGTGGTCCTAGTTTTCATTCGTGGTAATACTTCACCTTTTTATTTCAGTAAGAAGTGTGGAGGGAGCAGCAGATCAGCGTTCTTTCTGCCTCCATCAGCATCCAGCCTTTGTTGGGAGAAAGCGATGATTCAGCCCCTGGGCTAATCTCAGATGCGACGTGTGTTTGCTAGAAAGAGTAATACACTGCATTTTATGATGAGGAAAGAGTTTGTTCATCATTGTTTTTAAATTATCTGCCAGGGAGCAAGGCCCTCCTCTTGGCCAATGAATCAGGAGCAGTGAACTCTGGAGCTTTATGGAGAGGTTTGATGCTACTGCTTTATGGGGTGAGTTGTCTAAATACAGGAAATGTGAGGGCTGTGCACTTGTACCTCAAGCATACAACCACAATAGATCAAACACACTGCAATTCTGCATCTGCCTGCCATGGTTTCTCTGGCTGGTTCTTTTCCCTCTTACTCCTCCTGAATGAATTGGACTTTTTGTGACCCTACCAGCCTTGGAAACTTAATGTTTCTTTCTCATTTTTAACAAAGGTGTTCCAGTTTTGGATTCCAATGGTTATTGTATGTCTTACAAGTAAAAGATACAAGCTCCACCAATCCTTTGCCATCTTAGGATCTGAAGTGAGTCTGTGATTCATGCTTTACAGCTATACAGATTATGTTTTTTTCTTCATGTCACTATAACATATAATTTTGCAGTTGCTTTAAGCAGAGATTATTAAAAACAGTATTACCATAGTAAACTTGTCTTCCACCCAAATGAGTAACCTCACAAAAAGTATTTCACTGCCTAGTCATTATTGACATTTGGAAGCAACAAGGTTTTAATTAAAAATTCTGTTGATGATGCATAAATCTCCAAAATTCATTTTGATTTCCACTTAATTAGCTACATAAAACTAATAAGTAGGGACAACAGAGGTACAAGTCAATGACAGAAGAAAGTACCACAATACCTTTTCAGGACATGAACTACTAGGTTAAAACAAGACAGTAAGTTCTATAGACAGTTCAAATACTAATTTTGTCTATGGTCATCTTTTCCCCACTTGTAGTCTCTTCAATCAAAATAAATGTCATTGATACAGAATTTATCCCAGTTGCCACAGCAGGTGTAGCTAGCAATTGTTTTATTTAAGGTGGCTTTTTTCCAAGATTTCTCAAGATTTTTGCTCTTATTTTTTCCTACCATAAATGTTAAAGAACTGCTTTTTATGAGGCATTTGATTCCAAGAAGCAGTCCTGGAAACTCAGCAGTAGAGATTGATATAAAAAGCTTCAACTTCTTTTCTCCTTTTCATGGTATTTATTCTGTATGTACACACTTCCCCTTCTAATACAGAATCCTTCTGTAAATGTATTTGGTGAAATTAATGAGAAACTGACCTAAAACCAGGGAAGCTGGAAGGCATTTAAAAACAAGAGGAAAAAATTAGAGTGATGCAGACCTGTTCTTTGGAGTAGACAGTTTCTTAGATGCAAAGCAAAGGTTTTGACTTTCAAGGAGTCTAAAAATCTAAGCAGTGAGTTTGCCTCATAAACTCCTACATCTAGTGCTTGAAGTCTGCTAACTCATTGTTAAATTTGCAGGAGTAGGGGGATATAGTTTTCAAGTAGTATCCACAGAAGATGGCAAGGCTTGAGGGAGGATTCAGAATTTGCTAAAATTGGTTAAAATAACTAAAGACTGAGGCAACAGTCTGATACCTAGTTGCAATAAAGTTTTGTGGGGCTTTTTGCCTTTGTGAAGACTGAGCAGAGCTCATGAAGATCCCTTTTGCAGTGTAACACTGCTAATCCTGCCTTTTCTCAGTAGGACTTAGGTGTATTTGTGTTCTTTCATCATGGCAACTCCCTGCTCCCTTGATACCATGTTCTGGACCTGGGAGACTTCAGTGCAACAGCTGTTAGCAGTTCTGAAGAAAGCAGGTTGCTGTCTACTCCTCCAGGTGTGTGCTGAATGCTTGGCCATGATTCCAGTCTGGGAAGTGCCTTGAGAAATCTTCATCTCAGCATCAGCTGTGCATAAATGCACAGTTAATATGAAAGTTAATATGAAATTCAAGTTTAGCACAGCATGGCTGTGTTAGCTCAGTGAGGGAAGCAGGTGAAGTGCAGGGGTCCATGAGGAAGGCAGTGGTTAGTGCTGATACTGCTCTCCAGTCTGCAAAATCACTGATACTGCAAGTGGATGAGTGACCTGTATGTGTGGGAGGAAGTGTGCACTTGGTCTGAAAAGGCATGGGACAGAAAGTGATGCAGGTGCAGAGGCTGCCTCTGACACCTCTGCTGCTGAAGTTAGCTTGGAACTTTTCTGAAGGAGAAATGAACCACACTTGTTCTAAATAATTGGTCACTGTTGTCCAACTCTATAACTCTTGAATAGGAAAAAATAGGTACAGTATTTTTTCCATGTATCACTTGTGAGACAATGTTCCAAAGAAAGACATGCTGCTCTCCTTTTAAATGTGAATATTCTCTGTGGAAGCCTCCTGGTACCTGGGGTGCATGGTTCCTTTGAAAGTTACACTGCTGGGCACTAAAGGGAACTGAGAAAAGCTCGCTCTTTGTGTTTCAGGTTCTTTTGTCTCCAACAGGAAAGGCTGTAATTGGAATATAAATGAAACCATTTTTTCCCCTGAAATGAAATGTAGACAGCTTTGGCTATCTGGCAGTAATTCCCATTCTGAGTTTCCCTGTAAGTGATCTAACTCTTAACTGTTAAACAACTGAAATACACCTTATATTAATGATTTCTTAACTGGCACTTTGAATACTTGTGATGTTTGGGTTTGTTTTTTTTTCCTTCTAATTGCAGGTTCTAAAATTACACCTATGAACAAGAGTAAGTGTACTGCTGTTTTCTAAAATGAGGTCATTTTTTCTCGTTTTGGCTTAGAGTGCAGCTCCACAAACAGTTGCATCAGCACTACTGATGAGTAAACTAGAAAAATGGTAGAAACAATTGGGTGAGAAAAAGGGCAGGAATCACTTGGCCTTTGCTACTGGAAAAAATTGTAATGTGGAACCATTTTTCATGTTAAAGCTCAGTAATTTATTTAAATGTATCTAAATATTATTCTTAGTTTCTGCATGATATTTTCATAGAAGTGATTCATAAGAACATATACATTACATAAGGAAACTGGATTGATTTTTTTTTTGCCAGAAGCAGTTATTTCTTTGTATGTGCTAATGGTGTTTTTAGGAGCACTGTGAGAAGTGGTGTGCTTTTGGATTAGGCAAAACCTGAAGACCTCTAACTGGGTTCTTCTTTAATATTAGAAATGCAAACTGTATCTGGAAGACTCTAGAAGAGCAATAACATCCTAAGTGTTATAACAAGTTCTGTGGTTGGGAAAGAAAGGTTTTTTTAAATTAATCAGTGGAGTAGACCATTTGGGATCAACTGGAGACAAGCTACTGGCTGATCTCACTTGAAGGAAAAATTAGGATGTTATCAGAGCCAGTCTGGCAAGATTTGTCCCTTTAGACAGCTGCTACTTTCAGTTGCTTTGGGCCAAGTGCAGTTACACTTTCTTATGAGTCATTAGAATTAAAGGAATGTAATCTTAGAAGTCCTGATTTGTATTTGCAATCAATAACAGCTGTAATATTTATGTTAACATTACAGTTAATGCTGTGCTTCCTGGTATAAGGGCACTTCTCATATATATTTGAGTCTGTTTTGTTTAGATATAAAAGTTCAGCACTTGCAACCACTTAAACAATGCTTGTGCTAAAAAACAAAAAAAAACAAAAACAAACCAAATTCCCCAAATAATAAGACTTATTTCATATTTAAAAATTTTAATTTTTTTTATTTTTTTCCCATTCACATTTGCTTTTCTTTACACTTTAATTTTCATGACAGACAGCAAAGTGATTGTGAGTTTACAGCAGCTCAATAAATAAGGTATCCTTCACTCCTACATTTCTCTCTTGTTGGCAATGTCAAGTTTTCTGAAAATAGTCTTTGGAACTGGGAGAGGAGGTTGTTTTTAGAAATTTGTTTGGGTCTAAATACCATGTACGAATTTAGAATCAAAGCAGCAATTTGTAAGGAGAATGTTTTTCTCTGACAGGCATGAGCCACAGTGCCAGCCAATGTTTCTTTAACCTGCTGCATCTGAGGTGTCTGGAGGGCTGGTACGAGTGCCTTTGATGACACATGGTGTTGTAACCATTTGGTGCATTCTGAGTGTGCTTTTATGAAGCAGAAACTTTTGTAGTAGACAGAACTGACATGACATAATGCAAGTTGTAATTACTGGGTAGTGTGTTCAGGAGCAGTCCCTGTAATGTAAGGTAAAATAATGCTCTTCTCTCTGTTCAAAAGGCCAGGAGAAAGAGACTGATGTTTCACTCCTTAAAATACTGTGTGGCCTGGAGGTCACTTGGGTGCCTCAGGCCACTTGGCCTGTAAAAATAAGGTCTTTTTTAAAAACACACCTAAAAATATATTTGAAGTCTATTTTTAATCTCCTGGAAATCTGTTTTCTGATCTGTAATGTTAAATGAAACTTGCAGGCTACTTGGGGGTTAGGGTGTAGGATTCTCTACCTATTCACTGCTGCTTTTTGGCTGGGGTTTTCCTGAGTTTTCCATGTAAGCATCTGTAAGGAGGATGAAGAGAAATGTACATTGCCTTTCCTGGGTTCCTGCTGTCAGAAAACCTGACCACTGCTTGTGCAGGGAGATAGATGGGACCAAGCTTTCAGCTTGTTTTGGGTGCAGAGCTTTTCCTCTCTCAGACTGAAACCCAGGCAGCTGTGGGGCTGCTGCTGCTGTCACAGCTCTGCTTTTGAGTGCCCAGCCCTCAGCATTCCTAAAAGGGCATCTCATCCTTCTGTGTTCTCTCCCTCCTCTCCTTATGAGCATTCAAAATGCAGCAAAACTGACACCCTCCTCTGGAAGGAAATGCTACTCAGTTGAGGACAGTTTTTTGAGCTGTTCAGGTTTTGAAAGGTCTAGCATTGAATTAATGCCATGCTGGACTGGAAATAACTGGTCACATTAAAAGAGAAGGGAAGATGTCTTCTGGTTTTGCTCTACACTGTCTTTCATGTTCTTTTCCTCCCATTTTTCTTCCATCTTTTATTCATGCAGTTGTGTTTAAAAATATATAATTTGTTGACTATTGTTTTGGGGATGTTGCCAGGTATGGCTGTGGATTTAGGGATTTGATCAAGTACTATTTAAGTCAATTGAATGTAATGACTCCACTAGCTCTCAATGGAGATAAATTGAATTCTTTGCAGAGTTTGCAAGGGCTGCCAAAGGTATTTCAGTGGTTTAATTTCTTTATGTTTGTGTATAATACTTGTGAGACAAAACATTACGATTTCAAAATATGAAATTCTTTTTTTTCTTCTATCTGTTTTGTTAAAATATGTATGATATCAGCCATAGCAAATCCTATTAGCTGACACAGTCTAAAGTCCAGCTATTGCCAACATAATTTGCCCTCTGCACTGTACTTTAACAGTCTTTAATTATGTGATAAGATTTAAAAACAGATATGCCTCACATTTTTTTTCATCAAGCACAGGTGATATGTAATACTGTTCTCTCTCTGTTTGACAGTCCAAGGAAAGAATGTCCTTGCCTTTATTACAGTTTTAATGAATGTTAGGAAATTATAAACCATTTGCATTAGTTACTGTGAATTTAATGTGTCGTTAAGGTGCCAGGAGAGTTAGCTGGTCGACTCCAGTGCCTGTGAATTAAACAGTGATAATGAGACAATTGCTTAGAATTAAGTTATGGTGTTAATTATTTAGCTGACTTGTGATTAATATATTACTGAAAAGAAAAAACTTTATACATGTGGAAGCACAAGTTTTAAGTCAGCTTCCAATGTCAGCTTCCAATTTACTAACACTAACTAAAGCAAATAAAAACCAGAAATAATTTCCAAAAAGAAACATGTAGTTTCATACTCTTTTTAGAATATTTTGAAGAAAAAATATGTTGTTTTTTTTGCTTGTATGTTTGTGTTGGAGGACTGGTACAATTGTATATATAAGCAATTGTTAAGTAGCTAATAGTCAAGCCAAGAGCTGGTATAAGTCTTGATGATGATGATTATTATTATCATTACTGTTATTTAATTGATTAATTGTTTGTAACTGCAATCACCTTTAAAGAGTACTGTACACAGAAAAGAGAAAACAGGTTTGTTCCAAGTGAAACTGAGGAGTGCATACGTGTGGGGTACAGTGTGGCCAGAACTCACTGCAGAACGTGGCATTGGACTGGAATGTTTTGGTCTGTGTATGTGCACTACAGTTGTCCAACAAACCTTTAATTGTAAAGCTTCCACTTTCAGTGGTGAGATTCCTGTTTCCACTGGAGCATAATTTCCAAACAGAAGAAGAGGATGTCACCAGAGGCACTCCAGATATGTAATGTCCCTTATTCAGCAAATCAGATGAACAGGTGCTGAAATGTTGGTTCTTTGAGCAGTCCCAGTAGAGTTATCACAGAAAAATGTTTACAACAAAATAAAAGGAAAGGGGCAACACTGAAAAAAACCACAAACAAGATGTTCTAATTTGTGTATATCACAATGCAATTTTTCTGCAATTTATTCAGTTAGACAATATATTTGGTTATTTGGTGCAATTCACAAGTTGACTTTTCAAATCCATTTATAATGTTTGCATGATACATTTTCATGGTGAAACTCTTCCACCTTAACATCTATCTATCTATCTATCTATCTATCTATCTATCTATCTATCTATCTATCTATCTATCTCCATATATCTCACATATAGAATTAGGATTAATTTTGTATTTTCTTTATTTTTAGGTATTTTTGGGTTTCGTAGTCAATATTTTCTAGTATTTGTCTAATCAGTAAGGCATGGTGTTGAATAGCGTCACGGGAAGTAGAAGCCTAAACAAAATTCCTCACTTGATTTGAAAGGCAAGCTGTCTTTCTGTACTTTAGCACTGCTGTATTTAATGTAGTTTCATGTCTTTTTGAATGTTTTTACCAGGACTTCTGTCTTAAATCTTAGATTTGAAAGAACACTATTGAGCATGATATCCTTCCTATGACTAGAATTGTACAAAGGAACATGTCTGTGTGAATTAATATACAGAACAAGGCCTTGGGAGGGGAATCACTACAGCTCCTGATATCAATGAGAGTAACAATTAAACCCTAGGTAAGAATCTATAATAGTGCCAATGCAAAATCAGAAAAGGATCACTATATTAACAAGTAGCAGTGGTAAAAGCAGGGGCTTTGCTAGAATTCATTATTAGTAATAAAGGAAAAATGAATAATACATTCTGGACCTCCTAAACTGACAAAATTAAGACATAAATTATATTTACTTTTGAAACAATGTATGATACCACTTTAATATCTCTCCCAAAATATGAAATTAAAAAGTTTTAATATTTAAGAAATATAAATTTTAAAGTCATGTTCTCTGAAAAAAAATATTACAAATACTATTGACTACTACTTTTGACAACTATGTGGAAAACAATTTCTTGCTTTCTTACTCAGTTTTTTTAATTAGATTTCAAGAGTATTTAGACGTATATAAAGTGAGTATGGATCAGGTTTTATTGTTTCCTTGTGTCATCAAGCCATTTTCCTTCCTTGTTTCCTCAAGGCTTTCACAGATCAACAGAGGATCAAAAAATCACTAAACATGGTAGAAAGTTTTTTGAAAAATCTGGAAAAATTGACAAAGCATTCAGAGGGAATTATATTGTCTGAAGAAACTACTTGACCTGTTCAGGCTGACACATGTGCCATTAAAGTATCCTTCCCAGCCATTCTTTCCAAGCTGTGGAAAGCTGCAGGAGGCACAGTGACGCGCTGCGCAGCTGCTGTGGCGTGTGCCAAAGTTCAGACTGAGCTAAGCCAGGCTCAGGAGCTATCTTTAGCATACACATGAGTGATGCCATCCAAAGCATGTGCTCTGTCTTTTTACCTGAAAGTCTGATGCTATCACATAAAACACAATACCTTGTATCAACAAGCACTGTTTTGTTCTGCACTTGAATTGTGCTGATTTTAATTACCAGTCAGAACATTAAAACCCAGATTGCTTTCTGACCCTCTGTATGTTGAATTATTGGGAAATACTTTGTTTGGTTTTAGCACTGCTTGGCACCAATTTTATTCTTTCAAATTGTATGTCATTACAAAGTACATATTTTTCAATTTTCTGCTGTTCTGACATCATCAAATTCTAGTCACTACCCTGTTCTACAGTGCTTTTGTTGCTAAGAGCCTCAGCTCACAAAGCAAAAGGAAATATGTGCATGTGAAGAAAAGAATCGAGTGTTATTTCAAAATTCCTCCTGCTGTTTGTGGTGTGCTTCATGTCAGAGATAGGGAACCAAGAAGTTTTCTAAATCTCAGAGCTCTCTGGCTTAAGCCTTTGGGAATGAAACACTTTCTCTAGACCTTTCTGGTTTGCAGAGCCCAAAGATGCACCCAGTTACTGCTTTGTTTACTGAAGAGCCAAGGGCATGTTTAACAAAGCTGCAGTACTGCCTCCATTATGCTCCTTTGTGCAGGCACATCAGAGGGAAGAAAATATAATTGATGTGAGGTGGACACTGAAGGAAACCAGGGGAGGAATAAAGTGACAGGAAAGGAAAAGGTGCTAGTAAAATAGAATGTAAAGTAGAAGAGGGGGGGAAAGAAGGAGACAGTGACCTGGAAAAGAAAAAGAGAGATGGCGTCCTGCGAATTCTGTGGATAATACTCAGCACATCTGTCTTAATGTGGTTTGATGTCTTGTCATAATGCTGACGTGGTGCATCAGTGTAGGGCTTTCTAGTGCAGCATGGTAAGCTCACAATGTGCTGTTTTACAGGTCCTCAGTAGCTTCTGGACAGTTATAATCAGGACAATAATACCAGTGGAGAGGGTAATGCTGCAGGTGAGGTGTAAATAGATGAAAGAGACAGCACGTGATGAGAGACACAAATGGAGAAGACAGAAAAACTGGAAGAAAACTGAAGAAAGGACAGGAAGAGGTTTGTGAACAGACAGCTTTCCAGAAACAAGCCTTTGTTCTCTTATGGACAGTAAGTACTACTGGCAGAAATGCTCTCTCAAGTGGGAGGTGACAGGAGCTGGGAAAGTTAAACTCACTGACCTCTGATGAAAAATGGAGTGTGTGTTTAGAGGGAGTAAGCTAAAGCAGGGAAAGTGAAGGTATGTTACTAGCTAAAAATGTGGTAGGATATGTTACCTGTGCTGGAAAGGTGTGACACTCGTTCTGCAGCACTCACCTGAGTAGGTGTAGCACAGTATGCATCAACTCATAAAATGTGGCTGCTGTTTGGAAAGCCAAGATAACACTTTCCCTTCAGGGAAGCATACAGCTCAGCCACTGTTAGCTGGGTACCTGCAGGGTGTTAAGAAAAGCCCAAAGCATACAGATTTGTTCTTTGGTCTATGTAATTTTTTTTTTGAGAGGGAGGATTTTTTAGAAATGGAGATTTTCATTTCCATTCATCATTTTCGTGCTATTTTCCAGGGTTTTTTTAACTGAAACCAAATTCAGATCCTTTCTTTTCAGTCTCCTCTTTTCAGGCTTGAGCTTTCTGAATTAAATACTGCAATATTAGCTGCCTGCAGTTCCTGTGATTGGACTCCATGGGTGGCCCAAGTAATTTTCAGACAATGGAGCTGGTTCTTTTCTCACTCACACCACTGTAACTCATTGGCTTCAGTGAAGTTACTCTTGATTCACAGTATTGTGAAAGAAGAGTTGTGCTTGCTCTTTCATATGTTCTTTAATCTCCATGATATTTTTGTTTACATGTATAATTGATTTTCTGGGAACATATTCTGCTGCTGACAGGTAGACCTAGGAACTTCCTAAGACAGAAATAAATGTAAGCATTTTTTAGGTCACTGAATTAAATCCACTGCTTCTACAACACCATGTTATATAATTTCTTTCATAAACTGCTCAGGCTTTAAACATTCATTAAGATCTATTCTTACTACAGTGGGTAAAGGTTAGTTACATCTTGTGTATATTTAAAACCACACAAATGCTCTATAAGTATTTTTCTTTCTCACCTATGTCTCACTTTTCAGTACAGCAACCATGATAAAGGCTTCATTCTTGGCAGAAGAAGGCTCAGCTCTGGGAAAGCACGATTCTGAAATTACAGGCATACTTTGGAAAGGTTACTGTGTATTTTTCTTTTATGGTCACATCCCTCTTGCAGATTTTAGTGGGAGCAGTCATCTGACAACAGATTTTTACCATACTTAAAGTGCCACTATGAAAATAATTCCAGAAGGAGAAGGGTACAGAACAGAGTTCTGAGTTGTACAGAAGGTGTGTACAACTCAGCTGAGGATAGATTACTGCAGACTTTGACTACTTATCTTGGGTTGCCTTCCAATTACTGTCCTGTTGTAACAAATCCCATCCATTTTATCCAAATTTGCTCTTCATTTATGGAATTAATGGGTCTAATTGACATGAAGTTGAAAATCATCAATATAATCAAGAAGTTTTATTGTAATTAAAGGATAGATGAAAAGCACAGCCCTATTTTTCTCTTACATAGTACAAATAAGATGATTCAGCAGAAGCTAACAAAATTATGCTGCTGCCTGCAAATGCTACTGTGATACCTCCCCATCCTCCCTACCTTTGCTATGCATATGTGTTGATATGGAATACACTGTTATTTTTTGTCTTGTGTTGCTAAATCTCTGTTGTGCAGCTCACTTTAGCAAGCCCCTTGCCAGTACCTCCCTTCTGTTCTGAAGCTTCACTTCAGAAGCTGCAGCTGTTACTGAGGAAAGTTCTTGGCAGTTGCTGTTTAGCAGGGGCAGCTTTGGTTTGCAGCAGCTGGAAGGCGATGGCTGCACATCACAAGGGAGGGAGGAAGAGGTGTATTAGTTGTGAAAGCCAGGCTGTGGCCACTGTACAGCAGCCAGTTGGCTGTGATACTGCTCTGGTGGCTCTTTATCCCACCCTTTGGCTGCTCTATTTCTGATGCAGAAAAATGTGCTCCAATTGCATCATGCAAGTACAGTAAGCCTTATACTTTTAGGACTTGCTGGAAATGCCCAAAGTAATTGTGTGGTCTGTTCATGCAGCACTTTGCAGGAGTGGTAGAGCACTCCCTTAGTTTTGTTGGCATTATACTGCCTATAGAATATGGGCCTATGGAGTTTGCTCTGAGGTCTCTGGGATTGCTGGACATGGGACATCCAGGGTTGAGACTGCTGCATGTATGCAATAACATGATGAGATTATTAGATACCAAGAATCCTAGACATACACAGTCCTTAAAATCTCCCTGGAAAACAGTTGTGGTTGGAAAAGAGGACAGACAACCAATCTAAGACAACCTGGATATGGTAGCCATATCTAACCATGTCTACAGGTCTCCCTTCTGCAATGCCTTCATGCTTCCCCATAGCTAGTGTTTTGTTTGCAAACTTCCTTTGTCGAAAGTGTGAGAGGTACCCTGCTGTGTGCTCATGTGGAGAGAGTCAGGAATCCTCAGTGCATCACCATTCTCACCTTTACAGTCAGCAGCTCTCAGCCCAGCACGTGTTATGGGATGGGGCTGTTGAAAGAGGCCATTGCCTCTGGTCAGGATCTGCTGCGTGCCCAACAACATGCTGATCTCAGGCCAAGAAGAGAGCAGCGAGGCAGGACAAACTTGTTTTCTTCACCCACACAGCACACTGGGCCAGAGGAATTCTTTGGTAGGCTGTATGCTACACAGGCCTGATACAGAGGCATGGAGAGAGTCTGGTTTGTCTTCTAGATGCTTCCTAACCTGTAAGTGCATAATGGTGATCGGTCATTTTGAGGCTTAGAGCTCTGGTAAGTGGTCTTTGGCAGAGTTACCCACTCAGTTTAAGACATTATTACCACTCTCAAGTGTCTATTTTACTCTGCTGTTAGGTATTACTACACTCTCACAGTGGAGACTCCAGGTCACAGGCTGGCATGTTAAAAGAATACCTAAATTCATTGCTGTACTCTCCTAGAATGATTGTGACCTCAGGCAGTTGAGAAAAATCACATTTTAAAACACAGCAGCTAAATCTGCCAGAGCTTGTTGTTCAGAGCCTTAGGCCTTTGCTTCTTAACCATGAGAGGAAGGAGTCCTTGCCAGTACGTGCAGGCCTGAGGACAACCATTCTTGCCTTTACTGCCACTGCAGGTCCTCTGTCACCCCAGAAGCCCACTGCTCGTCCATATGGAGTACTGGTGTCACAGCTTTTACAACTCAAAAGAGAAAAGGCTATATGTAAAGAAACTTCAAAGTCACTGATCCTGTATTAAGCAAAAAGTGAGGGCTGTTCTTTGGAAGGTGAATTAATGAAGAAAAAATTCTCTTGGAATTTTTATGGTTTATGTGATCTTAAAAGGGGTTTATGATCCTACCATGGAGTTCTTTGGATTTAGTGGCTATTCTGATTCACTAAAAATTGCAGATGTAGTAGAAAATAGGTTGAAATATTTATTTATATCAAGAATGATATGACATCAGAGTAAAACATGAGGTTTTAATCTTAATTTCACTAAGAAATTAGATGATTGTGTTGATACTATGTTCATACGGTATTGCTGTCTTTATTTGTCCATCTGTTTTTGAAATGGAGGGAGATTGAAAGCAGGAATGGGATCCCCTTCACTTGTCTGAGGACATCTCATAAAATTTTGTTTGCAAAAATCAATTCAAAAGCTGGTCAGTCATAAGACACAAGTCCACAGGAAAGCAAACTTCAGTAGTTCTGATGTTTACACAAACACCTGGTCGTTGGTTCATGCCCAGCAATGAATTACGCCAAGCTGGCTGGAAACAGTTAGAGATGCTGGCAGTGTGCCCTGCCCACCTCCCACAGGTTCCCACTTCTGCAGCAGGAATGGCTCAATGCCTCATTAATCAGCACCTGGGTTTCTGCATTTTGCAGATTGGTGCATTAAGGCAAGCCAACATCAGTTTCTATTCAGGCCAGAGCATTCCTGCTGTGGGAGATGTCTGGCATGACAGATCAGTGTACATAGTGGGGTAGATGACTTGTCAGCTGCAGCTTAAACTATAGGGTGAGATGTATAGTAGTATCTTCATCATTATTTTTTAGAGGAGAATTTTTAATTTATTAATCAGAAATCATTAATGGAAATGTAAATTTGAGGTGGTTTAGGATGTGGATGATAGCAGAAGAATGTCAAGAGGAACAGTCATGACCATTACATTTTCTAGTTGGTGAAACTATGTCTATCTATCATATTTAATTTTGTCAGCATAAGTTTGCTTCTGTTTTTCAACACAACAGCTCAAAAATGTAAAATAAAAAAAAAAAAAATGTCACAAATCACAGCCTTGAACTTAGTAAATGGCAAGTATTGGCAATACCTGTTCTCTCTATGATGGGTGTGTTCCCCATGGCTCTGTGCTGTACAGTGCTCCCAAAGAGTGCATAAATGGATTCCCAGGGCACGAACGGTCACGTCAGCATTTTTCCCATGACACAGTACAGACAACCGGGCTGTGCAAGTGAAAGACACAGTGACTAAAATGCTGTTGGAAGGTGAGGTGCTATGTCTGACCGGCCTTTATCCTGCCCCAGCACAAACACCATGAACATTCAGCGGCGTTCAGGGCCCCTGAGCCCGTGCTGGCAGCTCGCAGGGGCTCGGGTGCCATCCGCGGTGGCCGGCGGGGTTCGCTGCCCGCACGGGCGGTGCTGCCCGCGCGGTGTCCCCGCGGCTGCGCTCGGGCCGCGCCGAGGAGCTGCCGGCTGGTCCCGGGCCATCGCCGTGGGTACCGAGCCCCGCTCAGCGCGGCCCTCCGCGGGGGCGGCTGCGGAGAGGGGGCGGCGGCCTCAGCGCGGGGAGGGTCCGGGGAAGCCGCGGCCCCTCGGAGGCGGCGAGCGGAGGCCGGCGGCAGGTGGCGGCGGCGGCTCGGCCCCTTTAAGGCTACGGCCGCCGTAACCCGATCCCCGTCGGAGCACGGAGCATCCTGCGCCCGGGAAGGGCTGTCCCGTCCCCGGCGCGGGGAAGGCATGGAGGAGGAGGAGGCGGCGCCGCAGCCCCCGTAACCCCGGTCCCAGGTGCGGCGTGCGGGGAGGGAAGGCGGTAGGGCGCTGAGAGGCCGGGGCTGGCGGGGCGGGGGCGGTGCGGCCCCTTTCCCCCGCCCCGCGGGGCTGCGCGGAGCGGCCCCTTCCCTCCCTCAGCGCGGGGCGGCCCTGGGGGCCGAGGGCCGCAAGCGGCGGCGCGGGGCGAGCTGACAGCGCAGGGCTGCGCGGGGCCGCCTCCTCCGCCGCCGCGGCCGGAGCGAGCGCGGAGGGTGCCCGCTGCCTGCCCGCTGCCTGCCCGCTGCTGTGCTCTCCTGCCTGCCTGCCCCGCGGCCGCTCGGGGCCGGTGCGAACGGCGGGCGCCGCGGGTGACCGGGACAGCGAGGTAATGCCCGGCTCGGGGCAGCGTCCCTCGGGGCAGCCCGGGGGCTCTCCGCGCCCACCGAGTATGGGTGGGTTCCCTCTTGGGGGCTTTGCGACCCCAGACTGCCTGCGGGGTTTGAGGAAATTGGGTAAATGGTATCGCAGCGGCCACCTCATCCTGAGTACACTGCCTTTATAAGAATGCTTCATCTGCCGGTTGCTTTGATGTTCTAAGAGCAGAAAGCTGAGTGGAGTTTAGGGTGTGAATAACCTTAAATACAAAAGGGAACGGCTTAACTGTGAGTGGCTTGAATTTTGTTGTGTTTCTCCTTAACGCTATTTACTGAGCTAAATAAGATATCAGACGAATAGGATCTACCATTGAGAACCAAGAGCACAGCAGAGCTCCAGCACTGCTTTTGTTACTGGGCTTATTATAAAATGTGGAAACAGTCAGTAGTCCAGTGTTGCTCTCTGCAGATTGGTCTGACAAGTTTACAGCTATTGGATTTGGCTTTCAGTTTTAAGCGGATCAGGAGAGCACAGTATTTCATGCGATGTCCTGGTATCAATAGCAGCTTTACGGTGTAATCTTGTTTGGAAATTGATCCAACTCATCTGCAAATCCAGCCTCGAAGAAAGTAAGGGCTGTGGGCCTTAAACCTTCCACTGCACCTTCTTACCATGTGTCGCTATACTGTTGCATTTCTTATTTTGATGATGTGGAAATAGTAAGAGGAGGAGAACGTAAATGCTAAATGCTTTTGATGGTACAACACTTGATGATAACTTTCCTGCCCCTTTATCCTCTTTCATTAAGTGCCAACTTGTTTCTGTCAGGAGTTCATAGTGTTATTGTATTGGGGGTGAATGGATATTGCTTTTTCTTCTAAATTTCAAGTAGAAACAGAATTGCAGGAAAACCACTGCATGTAAATAGCAAATGAAAACTAACATATTTTTAACTCTTATGGAGTATGATGAAAAAAACCTGTGTTATTAACCTTTTCAAAGTTATTGGGTCAATGGAGTAATTTGAAATACACTAGGCATGTAAGCAATACCTTGCTGAAAAAATGTTAGTTTCAAGTGTGTAGTAATATTTATTTACCTAAAGACTCCATTGAAAAGCTACAAGAGTGAAGTTCTGATCATATGTAGTTACTGTCTAGCCGAATGTTTATTTGGGTAATTTTGGGTAAGCAATGCAAATGCTAATGGTGGAGACCCAAACTGTGTATTGTACTGTTTTTCCTGCATACAAAGTAGTTACACTAAACCTCCTGCCCAGCCAGCCTCCCATTAGCTCAAACCCTGTATCAGCTGACAGAACAGTAATCAATGACTATGCAGTTTAGGTGATAGAGTGTCTGTTCATACATAATCCACGAAGTTCTGTATCTTGATCAGACTTTGCTGTACAGCTAATAGAAGATACTTGGAAAAAAACCCCACAGTGTAGTTAAGCTGCCTGGCTTACTAACTTTGGGCTTTGTCAAGGAAAATTGTAATCAGAAGCTAATTGTGCTTGTTTTAAGTGAACAAGCACAATGCAACAAGCTGTTTAGGTTCAGCAACATTAATAATTTTTCTTGTAAATGAAAAGAAAATCTGGTAAAACCAGTAAATTTTCATGTTAAAGAGGATACAGTTGAAAACAACCTAGGGATATGAGAAAATAACAACCTATAGATATGGGACAATATTTATAGCTGAACACATGTGAAATGCTGTATTTACACCAGGTCCTTGAATGGAATTAAAATATGACACTATTAATTGCTGAAGTAAAACATAAAATTATTCTGGATTTGGTAGTTACTATACTTAAACAGCATCTTGATAAGCATATATGAAATCAGGCTTGCAAAACTTGAGCATCTGTGAGACCAACCACAGAGGCTTAGTGATTAATTTTTTGTCTGCCTCTCTTCTCCTCCAAAACCATTGTACCATTCTCCTTCATGGGCATCATGGGTTCTGCACTTGCTGAAAGTCAGGTCATGCACTTTGCATGCAAGTACCTTTTTTAAAAATGAGTTCCCTCCACGGCTCCTTAGGTGAAAGATTAGTCTTCTAATGCATTTCTTTCAAGGGATGTTTGCAAGGTTTGCTTAATTCCATAATGTGTACTAAAATGAACACCTATCAAAAGCTAAAACATTACTTACCTGATATAATCTAATATAATCTTCTGGTACTAAGGAAACAAAACAAAGCATGGTTTTCTCTTGTCCAAGAGATTATGTCAGTGTCTTCGAAACTCAGAGATTCTGCTGTAGTAACTGCAGATGAATAAAATGTAGCATCATGACAATTGCTATATTTTAGTCAAAAGGATGAAAGAGGTGTGGTTAATGCTTAGTGTTTTGCTATTTTTCTGAAGAGATTTGTACTTGACCTGGATTTTGGCTTCCTTCTTTAAACCAGCTGATAATTTCTTTTCCCTTACATTGTCCAAGATAAGACTTGGTTGCTACAAATGAGATAATGTAATAACAAAGCTTTGTCCTTGGGGTTAGAATCTTGAACTGGATACCATACAGTGATTCTCAGTGGGTTTAAACTGGTAGAAACTAAATTGTTTTATTTCTTCAAATGGTAAGGTTTTAGAAAGTTGAGCTTAACACCCATTGTCTCTGGTACTTTACACTATGTGAAAAGGATATAAAATTTGGTTTGTGTTTTGTGTCTTCTTGATCAGAGGAGGCAAATGGAAAAGTATGTGGAGGATCAAGAATACTGAATATTCGGGACTGTAATTGAAATTGGAAGTTTTGATAGAGTAACATTAAAAAAGTATGCAGGACTTATATGCTGCTGCACTAGAACAGGTAATCAGAAAACAACTGGAATCAGTTAGTTTGATGCAATGCACTGCAGTGTGTGTACGTAAAAACTTCAGTTTGGATTAAAAATGCATTTATGAACGGAATCATTCCCTGTGATTTGTGTTGCATAGCTGTCCCAGAGTATGCAAGCTGTATTCCTTTTGGGTTCAACTGGGCAGGAAGATAGGCCCTAGGAGCACATCAAATATGTTCCAAGAATTGTGGAGTCCCTAGGACAGAATTAAAGCTGGTCTGAAGTAAGCACTTGAAATCTACATGATAGAGGCAGGTTTCATTCAGCAAATCTGCTCTTATTTGTCCTGCAGGTTTTTTTTGTACCTGTAGGTCTGTGGGCACTAGTCAGAGGAAGTTTTATTGTCTTCAGTTCAGGGAGAATAAATAGAAAAGAAGGAGGTAGAGGGGGGAAAAGTTTGAGACCATTGAACCTTCTGCTTCTAAATATTTGAAGATAAAAGTATGTTTTTTCTGATCTATATGTTTCAATATATTCACCATTTACACCCCAGAGTGAGAATATTTTGGTATTATGGTGGACATTTTCCCCTCTTTTTTCCTCCTGAAGTTCAAGTTTCTTACTATCTGCAATGCAGATACAATTTCAAAAATCTAAGGCATGTTCACTCATTCTGTAATGCACGTGAAATAAAAGTGGACATAAATGTATTATGTCATTGTATCGCTCTGCTGACCATTAGGTTGCTGTGGTAACATCAGATTATGCTGTCCTAAAAGTCTTCATTTTATTTTTAGATATTTTCTTAAGTAAAACTAAAATAAGTGACAGCAGGTTTTTAATAGGTATTAATTATTTAAATATTTGAAATGAAGCCATTTGACTTTTTCCCCCTTTCCAGTTCAACATAATATAAATTGACATTTTTTGAGTTTATACCTTTTGCCAGTCTTGGAGTGTAAACCACTTCACTGTCAAATTGGGGATGCATGTCAGAGGTTTGTGGCTTTTGGGAAAATATCATTCTGTGTTGCAAATACTGGTGACTCAGGAAAAACGACTGAAGCATTTAGAGACTGACAGTTCTGTTTGGAATTGTTTTGGTATTTAGACCTCATGAAATAGCTGAGCATCCAGCAATTGAAAAGCCAGGCAGCTCTGATGGCTTTCCACTGAGTGTGGAGATGTGTGGAGGTTGGAGTTCTGTGGAGGAGGAAAGCTCCAATAGCCCACAGCCATCCCAAGGACAAGGTCTGCTGAGCACAGTGGGAATTGGGAGCTACTGTCTCTGCAGAGTGCACAAACTGAGCTGCAGCAAGGCCACTGCTTCTCTGGGCTGACCCAAAAACCTTTCTTCCCTGCTTATCTGATTGCATTGTTGCGTTTTGAACTCCTGTTGGCAGCAGGCAATCTGGCAATAATGAAACAAGTTTTAACTTTGGAGGTCCTTGGGACAGGGGTGGAGGCTGCAGAGCTGGCAGTTGGCCTGGTCAGGGGTCTTCACTGCCCCTTCTGTGTAGAAAAAAATACAAAAATACATGCAATTTTAGGCCACAAAAATGTATAATATGCAAATGTTAAAAAAACCCCAAAACAACAAAAACCCCAAACCAAAATGCAACTTGTGTATCTAAAAGTTTGGGCATACTTTTATACTCTTAATGCTTAAGTAGAGACATTGAACAAGTAGAAACTATTAGTGAATAACATTTCTGTTGATAAGTTTGCTGTCAAAAACACTTTCTGTGCTCGCTTAAAATAGTTAAATAGAGAATAGAGTGAAATTACCTTCTGCTTCTCTTCACAGGTTGAAGAACAATGGCTTCCTTCAGCAACCTGACTATTGGCATTGCTCTTGCCAGTTTTACTGTATTTCAGCTCCTGTTCCACGTTGTAAGTTCTTGGGTGTCAACACGAATAACACCTGGTTTTAACAATCTCAGCCAAAAAAGGAAAATCGAATGGAATTCAAGGTAAAGTGTTCAAAACAACAACAGTTAAAGACTTACCTGAAATCATGGACACCTGAACCACCTGTGTGTGTGTGTGTGTGTAAGACTGAAGAAAACCCTATTAGTTAAAGGTAAAGATCAGAGGGCTGGCTCTAGACACTGGACAAATAATGCATGTGAAATGCTGAGGTCCTTCATAGAAACACAGCATTACTAACACTTGTACATTAAATGCTTTGTTAGACAGTGATGCCCAAGTAAAAGTCAGTACAAAGATAAAACAGTGACTAGTGAGAGGTAATAAACTGAAGAGATGCTCTGTGATGCTTCTAGTAAAGAGAAGAGATAAAAAATTCCTTTCCAAACATGTATGAAAATCAAAACTAGTGCAATTTATTCAAAATCCCAGTGTATCTCTGGTCATGCTTTCAGGAGCAAAGCCGTTTTTCACCTGCTGCTACTACACGACGAACTGTTTTATATAGGTTAAGGTTTTCCAAGGAATTTAATGACACTTGAGTGTAGTATTGAAAAGAGTCAGGTTCATGTGTGTTGTAGGGAAAGGAGACTGCAGGAGGAGGAGGGGAAGCTGTAGCAGACACAGGGTACGCATGCAGGAAGGAGTTGCGGAAACTCAGTCCAAAAACGTTCCTCACTTTCTCTGTGTTTCTGTATTTCAATCAATGGGATGGATCCACCTGCATTTCACTTGTCCCCTCAGATACAGGACTTCTAGAAACTTGTTTGACCAATGAGTCTTTTAAGCCATAAGGGAAGTATAAGATAGTAATTGAAAATGGGGTGATCAATGAGGTTTTATTTGCAACATACTACTCTGCAAGGGTATATATAGTACACAAGGTTCTCCAGTTGAAATAGATAGGTACAGTATACCTTTGCCTATTACAACTTTAAAATATTTTTTTAGATGTTTCCCAAATTTAAAGCTCAAAAATGTGTACTGTATGGTTGTCACTGCACTCAAAATGCATTAGTTGCAGTTCTGTTCCTCCTCGGTGCTGTTTAGTATCAGGTGGATACTTTTAAAGTTGTTTCCATTGTTCAAGGCAGCATTAGCAACTCATATTGCCTTGCCCTTCCATCTGGCAAATGTCCACTTGCAGTGTTCTTAAAAGCACCATCTTGATTTCAGTTCCATCTTTGAATAATTACCTATCTGCCAGAACAACTGTGTAGGATGCCAGTTCCCAGTATCAGTGCAGCTTAGGTTTACCTCTCTGTTCCAATTAACAATAAGAGGCAGACAGGAAAAGTAAACTAAACTGCTCCCATGTGAAGCTGAGCTATTGTCTATAAGCCACATCAAATGGCCTTTGAATTGCATAATAGGCTTTATGAGAACTTACCCCATGCCTGGTAGTGCTGCACTGGTGTAGTGCTTTGCATAATAACGTGAATTGTTTTACACATCACAAGTGTGCTGGAAATAAGCTGCTCAAATCTCTGGGCTACTTTGTTATAAGGTGTTTAACTGCTCAATTGATACAGTACCCCATACTATGTCCTTTTTTACCTCTTTGCACCTTTTTTTTTCCTTGGGGTTGATAGCAGGATGTAGATGTTAGCACACAGATGGGTTGTGGTCCCAGGCTTCATCCAGCTCAGGAGTTAGAAGGCATGAAACACAAAGCATAGTTCATCAGCATATTGTGGATGTTCTAACTGAGGAGGGCATGAAGGGAAAGAAAGGCTAGCTGTGCTTGTGTTACTTCAGCTCTGCTAACCAAACACAGTGTTTCTCAAACTGCCCTGTCACTCCAGTGTTTCACCGAAACGAAGAGAGGCCTCAAGGAGTATCTGGCAAGTTCAGAGAATGCAGATGAGTATGTATTTATTCTGCAGGGAGCTCTGCAGGTAGAGACAGTTACTATGTCCCAGTAAAATCTGTTGGTTTAATTTAAATTATTTAAAAGTAGATGGTTGTTATTTTGTCCTATATTGAACTGGTGTAGGGAGTGCACACACAAATGATTCTGTTGGCAGTGCTAAGGAAACTGGCACAGAGGATGGTTATGCATTTTTATCAGCTCAGCTGGGTCTGGAAGAGGGCATCTGCCTGAAATGAGCTGTAGCATTGAAAATATATTGTTACAGTTTGGAGGGCTTCGTAATCAAGCATTTGAGCTGCAGCTCTTGGCTGTATTTTCCATGCTGTCAGTTTGTTCATTCTGACCTTCCAAGAATTATGAACCAATAAAGTAATTGCTTCTGGCATCTGAAGTATATGGACACTCAAATTGAGTTAAAAACTGTATTTGGTCATGGATGTAGTATAACTCTTCAAGTTGTGCATATATTCTTGTCACCTCTCCTGTAATATATGCTTGTACTGCTATTAAGTAGTTATGAAAAAAATATATATTCAATAATAAAAAAGCAAGTCTGCAACATAGCATTGCAGCTTTTTTTGTTTGCAGCTTAATGAGGAGTTAAAGGATGCAAGCTTTGAAAAAAATTTCAAGGAAATATACAGAGCTTGATAGCTTGACCTAGATTCCTTATTAAAATGGACTGTTGTACTATTTCCCTTTTTCTGCTCTGCCTATGGAGAAGCTTCAAAGTCCAGAGTTAAGGAGGAAATCTGCTGCGTTTTCTTTTCTTTCTTGTTTTTCTTTTCTTTCTTGTTTTTCTTTTATTTCACTCCCATCAAGTGTTCTACTTGTGTATAACTTGTATTCTAAACAGAAAGGTTCAGGTAAACGGCCTCTTCAAAACCAAATTACAACTGTAAACTAATGAGCTATATTTTAGGACAAATTTTCGTTCTTGTAGCATTATCTTCTCCTCAAGTTCAAAAATTCCAGGTATTTCTCAGACACTAATATTGCGTGTTCTGCTTTGTTTTTAAAAAGAAGAAAAGTTCCTATCTTTTTTAATCCTGTGTTACAAGAGTAGACCTTTTAATTAAACTATTAATTATCATTACAATTCTGATAATTAAATTTTCTTTCTTTGTTCAAAAATGAGAGGGCAGAAGTGCAGCCTGTGCTGTAATGATTATTAATTGTTCTCATCCAGTTTTTGACTACTCATATTATACTAACCTCCATTCATTTTCTGTCACACTATTGAAAAAGCTGCTGAAAATAGTGCAGTGACACTCTTGAAACAAATTGTAAATACAGTCTCTTTTATGAATAGTTACAGAATCTTCTATTGCCAGTAGATAATAATGCCACTTCTGGAAATGGAATAGGGATTATAACCTCTTTCTTTGCAGTCTTCTGCAGGAAGTAACATGTTTTCTTTAAATCTTGCATGGTAGAGCTTAGATTCCTGAGAGTGCCTTAAGGACATCTAAAATATTAATGACTTTCAAATACATGTATTCAATATGTACAAAGATAGGAATAATAACTAACAGCATCTGTGCATTTGTGTGTATATTGTTGGTGCTGTAAATATGGTGTGAAGTGTTTCCAATTACACAGCACTGAACTTAGTTCTCATCTTTCAAAAAGTATCTGTGATTCCCTATGGATATTTTTGCACATCATTTTTTTTTCTTTCTAATTACATTTGGAAAGTGGGAAAGCTGACAGTAGCTACACAGTATTAGGTGCAGCTTATAGTTGTGTTAAACCCATGGCTAGAGCAGGAAGGTTACACGTTTTGGACCCATGCCCATTGCATTGTTCTACCTTCCAAGAATACATGTGGACTGAAAGGGCAGGAGGGGCCCTGGCCTGTGTGCTGGCAGAAACCCTGCTGGGGTTTCTGTAAATAGATATTTCTCTAAAAGTGCATGCTTGTTAGCATGCAGAGTTTGTCTACACTGTGCATGCAGCCTGTAAACTGGAGACTGTTGTCTTTGGGGGAAAACTGTGTCTAGTACCCAGGTAGGGACAAGGCAACTTTGATTACTGTGACGTTTATTTTATATTTCCCTAGTCCAGTACAAAGCTGCTAATTGATATAAACCTCTAGCTGTTTTACCTTGGGTATTCAGCTACAACCAAGTTATACAAGTTTTCTCTTTGAAAACCAGAATCTACTTCAAATGCACTAGAAATTCTATCTGAAGCTTAGGATTTTTCATTTAATGCCACCTTCCAAATCCAAACTAGACTTATTATGGGTCTTTTAATTTGGTGCCTGAAAAGAGAAACCTGCTGTTGCAAGACTCCTGGGCTAATCTGAGTATGAAATTGTATATACATTTTCCAGCAAATGGGACAATACAGAAAACATTTGTTAGAGAGCTAGATGTCATACTGTCTTTAAGGATTCATTAATATATGGGATAATTTGAAGAAAACTTAGATCTCCCTTACTTTTAAGACTCACTTTGTATCTAATATTGTCAATCCCACTCCAATCTAATAGATTCCTTCTTGATTGTTTTTTCCCACCTGTCCTTGTGTAAGGAGTTGGGTGTAGCATAGAGAACAGATGATTGTCTCCCACAGAAGTATCTGCAGGCAGATTTGAGAATGCCTTGGGATACATCCTACCTTGAGCACAGCATGGGAAGTTGTGAGCAGCAGTACCTCCTTGTGACTGTGATCTCTTTTTCAGGACAGTGTCCACATTCCATGCCTTGGTGGTTGGAGGGTTTTGCCTTTACATTTTGTTGTACGATGATGCTGTTAATGCTGACCATCTCTGGTAAGGCATGTTGCATACATGTTGTGGTTACACAATAAAAGAACACAATTGAGAAGGAAAAAAAAAGAATCCTGTGTATTAAGTACTGCATTATTGTTTTATTTTCCATTAAAATATGTAGTTGTGATGTGTTCATTTTTATGTGTGTACTATTTGAAAATTTGATAACTATTGTGTCAGTATTAGTGTCTTAGTTCAGTGTGTCTCTGTGAAGTGGAATAGATAAAATACAAGCAGTTGATTTGAAATAGCATATTAAATTATTAAAGAATAAACTGTAACTATAAGTATGACTGAAACTCTGCTATTTACAGTAATAATTTTAAAGTGGAATTGAAAAGCTGTAGTTGGTCTGGATAGTGTATATCTGTGTGAAAGTTCTCTGTTGAACCCTGCAAAGGGTTTGGGTTCAATGGAGAGAGAATGTGGTATTACTGTCAGGTAATGCCTGAAAATAGATGCAGTAGATCATAACAGGGACTGGAACATTGGGAAGCTCCAGGGAGACATCAGTGTTGTGTGTCACATTTTTGGTGGTCTAGGACTTCTCATAAAACTTTTCCTTTTTTCTGTATGTAGTAGAGACTAACATAGATGATGTAGAAATTGTTTTTGTGGTAGTGAGAATCACATGGTAGAAAATGTGGAGGTGGTAGAGATCAGATAAGGAAAGGGAGAAGATGTAAATAAGTGGATTAAGTTGTGGCTTCATAGGAGAACAGGCTCCTTCCTATGACTGTTCACTTCATAATCATTACAGTTTTTCAAGTTTGATGTTTGATTAGCATTTTATATGACTCTATATCTGCAAAGAAGTTTGAAGAAAGTCAGTTGTATGGACTTTCTTTCGTTTGTTCTATCTGCCCGTGCATCTTCATGTGTAATTCATTTGCCACACATACCTTCTTAGCAATCACCAAAGAGATAGTTCTTCCCATTTGCTTATTCAAGTCACTCCCTGTTTGTCACTCTGGGCTCTTGCTTGCATCAACACTGGCCTGCAGACATCAGGGCTCATGATTCCATTGCACCTTCCATTCAGGGAGATAGGTCAGGAAGTCTGGAAGATTTTAGACTAAATTCTAAGTTCTCCACTTATTGAGAATAATTTGGGATTCTGACAGAGACTCTTCTTGAAGGGATGTGACAGGTGGGACAGTGCAGCCATATATGTTGTTGAACTGTTGGTTTAGAAAGCTTAGAGGAGGTTTGATGCAAAGTAACCATTCTCTGGGGAAAAATAATAAGGAGGGGAGTGAACCATTCCCTGTCCCATCCAGTTAAGTCATGTCTACCATTATCAAGGAACCAGTTGCATATACTCAGCCCTTTGCATGTTGTCTGGAAAATATGAAGGCTCTTGAGTGCAGGCTGTCTTGGTGGTGATGTGCTGAAGTGTGTTGGGACCCCTAAGAAGTTTAGTTATGAGGCTGCTGCTGCAGGTGGGAGCTGTAACATGAGGCCTCTATGTAAAGAGTTTATGCTAAAGTTAGGAGAACATATCTGCCTCTATGTCTAAACCTAAAGAAGCACTCAGCCCACAACATACGTAGCTCATGAAATCAAATTTTGAAGCATTGAAAAACATTCCCATTTCAAGCTGTATTTTAAAGAACATCTACAGCCAGTCTTAACAGATGGAGTGAGTTCCAGACTCTCCTAGTAATGGTTTTTCTTCACCTAACAGCAGAATTCTGGTTTTGTGAGTCTTATTTTCCTGTATACTACCCTCTCACTGAGGGAACAGTTAGTTTTAGACACTAAGAAAGCTTTACAATTTAGTGAACAGATTGTAATAATACAGGAAATCTCTTCCCACTGCTCCATTCCAATAGGATTAAGAAAAAATAGTTAAGTAATAGCATTTTACTGTGTTCTGGCTGAGGCAGACTTTGTATTGGAGTTGGCTGTAAGCACAGGTTCCTTTTTTCTGGAAAGGTTTACAACAAGGATTGCTTTCACAGCTTGTCTTGAGCAGTCAACTCCTCAAAGTAGGAATGCACAGAGGACAGTGGAGAGAAGAACAAACATTGCTTGCTGTAACGTGGATGCTTCCCTTCTGAAGCTGTATTCACAAGTTTGGGTTTGTTGAACATTCTAGAGGAACTGGAGCTGTGTGTGTGCTACTCAGAGCTTTGCCTGCTGAATGTTTGGCACCAAAAGGGATAGTAGGTGTGGAAACTACTCTGAAAAGCATTTCTGCTCAAAGGTTCTTTGGCTTCAGAGAACTGGCAAATAATTCCTTTCCTGTGTCCTTCTACTCTGTTTATCCCTATAAACATCTGATTATGAATATGAAAAGCACCAGCTGAGCAAGATATTTTTGTCACCCTTACCAAACTTTTAGCATTGGCAGAAAACAAAAATGGACGCAGAGTGTCAGTTAAGGGCTAAGAGACAGAGACTGGGCTGTTCTCTTTTATCCTCAGTTTCCTGAGAAGCCAGCTCAGAGCACTTGCTGGGGTTCAGTTCAAATCTCTAGCAAGGCTCTTGGGGCAGTTTCTGTGCTGAGGCAGGGGTTGATCCTGATTAGGGTAGCTAGTAGGTGTCTTATGTTTGGGTGGAAAAGGAATTCACTTGTGATTAGAACCCTTCTTAACTAGATTGCATAATCTCTTACTGATGAGCCAAGAATAATGTGCCCTGATGGCATTGTGTTTGAGATGTGTATGTCCTTTGCAAATTAGGCTGTAACTATGTATTTTTGATGTGTTTACAGGGGTGACCCTTCAATTGTGAAGCTGAATATTGCTATTACCACAGGCTACCTCATTTCTGGTAATTATGCAACATGTAAACAGCATGCATGACCTGTTTATTTATTTATTGGTCACTATACCAATATGTTTATCCTGAGCCACTGTGGTGAAGATGTGGTATGTGTATACAATACAGTTATGCTGTGGCTTTTAAAATTGCTGATGGATTTGTGGGTTGTGGTGAAATCACAGCATCTTGCTAGCAGATTTCAAAGATAGACTATCTCCTCAAGCACTGAGGAAATAGCACTGTGTGGCTTTGTCATGGTTTGATGTGCAGCCACCAGCTCCAGGTCAGTTTTGTCCTTTGGCCAGCTGAGGAGGTGTTGGAGCAGTGCCCTTCACTCTCTTCTCAGTGCCTACAGCTCGTATCTCTTCTATCAGGTGTTTCTTCCTGTGACCTCAGAACGCTGGCAGAAGAATTTTAGTAACCCTCAACACAAGCTGAGGCAAATGGATCCTGCCTTTGTCTCCTTTTAAGCCAAAATTCAGTCATGTATAAAACATGGCAATTATTTATTTTGTATGTTATTTATTTCTACATATGTTTTATGTTCTTAATTTTTCTGTCAATTAAAATTGGCATGGGAATTTTGCTACAAAATGCTTTGGAGCTTTCTTTTATGTTGTGTGGGGATAATACTGGCATATCAAAACAAAAACTTGTGACTTGGACTACTTTCAGTGAAAACTTCTCGTGTTAGGATGAAGTTTCTGATCAGAGCCTGGGCCACAGTCTTGGTTATCTCATACTGGATTTCTCCACCCAGTGGAAGTGGTAATCTGGTGATCAGCATATTCAGTTAAACTGTGCATTACTTTAAGTGTCTGGAGTTTTTCATAGCTTCAGCTCCCATGTTTAAATTAATCAGTATCTATTTTTGAATAATTATGCATTAAACTTTCATTATGAATTAATGAATGCCTTTCAACAGGCATCTCAACCTGACCACTCATTCTCTCTCACTTCCCTGTATAGTTGATGTTTAATTATTAATAGGAAGTGAGCAGCTCTGTCAGATGATGTAGAGCTCTGCCTGAGGATAGCTAATATAAAAGAGATCAAGGCACACTCTGGACTTTAGAAAGGCACAGGGGTAAAGTCTTTGATTTGGAACCTTGGTCAATAATATTACAGTCCAAGGTACTCATTTGCAGAAAGTAGGGACAGAAATTGCTTGTTATTGTACAGAGAACAAGATCTTTTGAATTCTCAGACTATCATGGGAAAAGAAAAATTTTTAAGGGTTTTTTTTTTGGTTTATTATATGTTAAAACTTTCTTTTTAACAGTAACTTGCTATGTCACTTTTGCAGTAATTAGAAAATTGGGATTTAATAAAGTAAATATGCTTCTTATTCCAAATGCCTCTTGCAAAATAGTTTTGGTAAATGGTACCAAATTTACTAATATACTTTGCTTTTTGATTCAGAGCTTCTCTGTAATAGATCCCTGCATTTGTTGCATGTATTTGTATGTTTGCTATGCCCCCTGCAGACCTGCCTTTTTTATGTCATATGTTCCTGATTTTTGGGGTTATAAGTGTGAGGTCACTATGAGATTCAGGATCCACCTTTTCCTTCTAAAATACTTCGGCTAAAGTTACTGCATCTGTATTTCCATTGATGTGGAAAATAATCATTTATGGAAATTGTTGGGAGAATGCTGTTGCCTAATGCTTTGACTGAAGTAAAGTCTTTATGATGAAAGTGTTCTCTTCAGACATCATTAATTCAGAGGGTTTCTACTGATGCCATGTCTTGATATCTCTCTAAAATGTGAGAAGCTATTCTGAGGTCAATGATTGTATAATAAATAGTTCTTTATAGTTATTTCTGTTCTCTTGTAGATCTGTTGCTTATTATTTACTACTGGAAGGCAATTGGTGACAATTTTTTTGTAATACATCACTTGGCAGCTCTGTATGCTTACTATTTTGTACTGGTAAGTGCTGTATTTTCTTGTAACATAAGCAGATGAGATTAAAGAAACAGCTTTTATAGACCTCACTTGCTTAATGTTAAAAAAATCACTGGTTAATGAAAGGCATACTTATACTTTGAATCATTATTTTAAATGTTTTTATTAGTTATTTGTGGTAAATGCATGACTTTTCATTGTTACACTCCAACAAAAATGTGTAACTCCGTTGAAATTAAAAACTTTTCTCAGTTTTTGCTGTAAAGAGACTTTGACAGAAGAGCTTTTCATATGATTGTAGAACAGGGTTTTAAATAAAACCACAAGCTTGAATATTTAGTTGAAAAGTTAGAAGGAAATGGTTTCAAGTGGTTATGTTCTGCTTCTGTCTCCCAGGTAACAAGTGACAGGATGAGGAGAAATGGCCACAAGTTGTGCCAGGGGAGGTTTAGTTTGGATAGTAGGAAGAACTTCTACACTGTAAGGGTGGTCAGGCAAGTGTTCAGGGGAGTGGTGGAATCACCATCCCTGGAAGTTGGAAAGGTGTGTGGCTGTGGCACTTGGGGATATGCTTTAGTGGTGAGCACAGTGAATGGTTGGACTTGATCTTGGAGGTCTTTTCCAACCTTAATCATGTCTTCCCTGCCTACTGTGTGAATAACAGTGAAAGTGTTGAGATGCCAGATTACTGTCAGATTTCCCATGTAAGGGTTTAGAGGGGCTGAAGTACACTGTCAAGTAAATAATCTATTTCTGGCTGAAGACAATTAAATTTAGTAATACTATCATGGATGAAAGTGAATTAGAGCTGAATATTAAATAAATTAAAATACCACTACCAAGGCTAATCCTCTGTGCAGAAAATTCATTAGTTGTTTCTGGAGGAAACAGAAAGCATAATATTAGTGTGAGCTTCTTTAAAAGCATTTATTTCTATGTGGATATAGCTCTGCCTGTGGATGCCAGTGTGTTGCTCTCAGTCTGTTGTCTTCAGAGAAAGTCACCCCTAAATATGTTATTTCCAAATTGCTTTTTGGGGATAAAAATAATTTTGTTAAACACACAGATGTTCTTTTGGTGTAGTGCAAACTGACAATGAAAAGCTTGAAGTGGTGGGTATTTGCTTGCTTAGTGGGGAAAGACGAATCGTGACCCACTCCATAGATTGTTCAGGGAACCTAAGGAAATTAAAAACCTCAACACCTGCAAACTGCTGCTTACCCAGCAGTTGTGCAAGTGGATAGTGTGTGTGACCTGAGGGAAAGAGCTCAGCTGGAGGGGATGTGGTGTGGATGTGCCCCGTGGAGGAGCTGTGCCCGACCCACGGGCACGGCAGGGACCTGGCAAAGCTGCTGGCAGGGCTGCCCCTGCCCTCTGCAGGAGGGAAGAAAGGGCTTCCTGTGCCCTTCCCTGCCGTCAGATTAGAGCTGGAATTCGTCTTTGCTTTGGCAAAATATGTTCCTACAGCAATGCAGGGAGATTTTTCTCCAGCATAAAGTGTTTCTGTTTGGGCTTGTTTAAACGTTGAAAAATCAAAAATGTTTATAATTATTTCAGGCAGTAATGCTATTAGTAATCTATGACTACTTGTGCAAGTCTTCTCTAGTTAGCTTTTCATGGCAATTTAACTGTAGGTCTTATAAAGATTTATTTGAAGTAAGAAGCTACTGATTGGAGATACCTGAAGGACAATTGCAGCTTTTGTGAAAAAACTTGCTTAGAAAGTGCAGGAAACCTGGCCACAGCTGGCAAACTCAGTTCGATTAAAGAAGTCAAGATGATGTATCATTCTCTGTATACTTAAAGACTCAAATGGCAATTTCACATCTACATTGTTGATTTTTGTATGTCTGTTTTGTTTTGCTAACCAGAGCAAAGGTCTGCTGGCTTATTTTGGAAACTTCCGTCTCCTTGCAGAGTTCTCCACTCCTTTTGTCAATCAGCGGTAAGTGGTTAGGGAGGTTTTCCGTAGCTCTTTTAAAACTGAATCTGCATTACTATTTCTGTCACTTAGGAAGTCTTTTTATAGTTGTGGAATGTCTGCTGACAGGGAATTTATATATATTGAACTAAGGATTACTATATGAAAGTCTTTTTTGCTATGAAAACATTTTGCTGCTATAGGTGCAACTGTATAACTAATGTATTCATCTCCCAGTTCCTTTCTGGATTAGACCAGGCTTTGTATGAAATACCAGCTTTTTATGAAAATACCAGACAAAAAATTCACAAATAAACTATTCTTTATTAACTTTTGTATATTCATTTATTTTTTATAATAAAGCCATCTTCAACATGGATGTTTTTTCTTTGTATGGATGAGGAAAAGAGGCAAGATAATATTGTCATCAGAATCCTAGAATGGAATTGCATTGTCCTGTATAATTTGAAGTTTATTTTCCAATATTCTACACACATAGATCAATATTTATATATGCATATTAATATCTAGAATAATATAAATTGATATTCTTTTATTTATTATTATTTATTGGCTGCTGGTAGAAGTGTTTTTCCCTGATGTGCTGCTGTATTAGAAAAGGAGGCTGGTAATGCCACGTACAGCTGCAAGGGGAGAGCTGTCATTGGAGTTCCATGGTGCTGAGAGGAGGGTGGCCTTGCCCCTTACTCTGTAGCCTTCAGGCCACAGCTGGGGGTAGGATTTGCCCCACAAAGACTTCACCTCAGGTGAGGGGCTTTGGTACAGAGCAGGGCTGCAGTCTTCTCCTCTTTCTCCAGTTTTTTGCAAGGTAGGATGAGGACTTTCAGTGTATCAGATGCCATTTTCTTAACCATGCTTTTTGGGGTGTATTTCTGTTTTACTGCTTCTACAAGTGTGGCATCTGTTTTCTTCTCCAAATGTCTGGTAGAGAAAGGATAAGACAAATAGAAACTGTATTCCTCCTGCAGACAGGCTATTGCCCATTACTGTATTGTGACTTAATCTCTGAAGTGTTTTATGACACTGTAGCATTCCTCAGTGCTCTTACAGAGAAAAAAGATGGTGCTGTGGTCCCTTTTGAACATCAGTTTGGTAAACTCAAACTCCCAGGAGGACAGGGTGGGATAGTGGAGCTCTCCAGAGGCTGTGCTCCTCTGCCCCAGTGCAGTTGAGTGGGAGATATCAGCCTGTTGTAGGCTGTGCTCTGTGTGTGCAGAGAAAATAAAGACTAAATAAACACTTCCTCAAACTTAATGAGAAAAGGGTTTATATTGATATTCATGTCATAGAGAATGGCTGTTGTCCCAGCTTCTATCAAGATAGGATGTCATCCTGGGTTTATGTGTGTTCCTACACTGATGCTTACCTTTCAGACTGTGGCATTAGAAAGAATTGTGGTACATCTGGCTATTAAAAGTAATTTATACTTTTAAAAGTAATTTTATACTTTTAAAATGCCCATGGTGAGATTATGGGTCTTTGAATACTGACATTTAGCACTTTCTCAGAAAAGCAGAAATAGCTGCAGGAGATAAAGTCCCTTGCACTAAGAGATGTCATCTCATTAGTGCATGATTTTTTTTTTCCATTAAATTTGAAGTGAATCAGACCCTTAAGAGAGTGAGTAGTGGATAATGATAACGACTTACATTATGTTTCTTGTTTGCATTCTTAGTCTACCAAAAGAGCTCTTATTAAAATATAAAAGATATTCTAATCTTAGAACTGTCTCTGTATTTCCTGTCTGTGTTGTTAGGGATCTCTAATTGGATGTTGTCTCCATGCCAAGCATTTAGATCTTTTAATGTTAGTATCAGCATTTATGTAATTAATTCTGAACTGTGGTGGGTAAAATTGTAATGGTAACTGTTATTTACAGACTTTTTTTATTTGCTGGGAAAGAGAAGCTGCTAAACAGATGCAAATTACCTATACTGGCATGTTGCAGTATGTTTGAAAACCAGTTTTTACATTAATTTTTGATTCTGTATTGTATATATCATTGAAAGTGAGAGCTTTGATTGTTAATCTGACCAAACATGTCAGGTCTTTCTCTTCATGTCAGTAAGTGTTTCTATGGTGAGGCCTCTTGCTTCCGGGCTGGGCTGCCACCTCGAGTGCCTGGATTTTAATTGTCCTAGTTGCATGCTTAATGAATTTCTAGAATATTTCTGTTAGAGCTGGATGTCTGGAAAATCGTTCTAGTGTGTTTATAATTACCTAGGTAATTATAAATTATTATAATCTGTAGGTAATTAAATTAAAAATTACTTTTAAAACCAGGTTTAGAACTAGTTTTATGTTAAATCATTTTAGCCTTGTATCTTATTGGAGAAAAACAGATTATTTAATTCTCTTCCCCATCCCCCCTTATGAATACAGTGATTTAAGTTATTTTGTTCTTGTCCCATCTGCCATTGCTGCACAAATTTTACTTGTTTATTCTGGTTTAAGTGTGAATGACAAAGGATTAGAGAAGTTTGTTGTTCCTTTTTCAACCCTCAGGTTCTGTGTGCTAGGCAATAGATAAATTATGCCTGTCTATCTAGGAATAAGTATGCAAGAATTCTTTTTTAAAGACCATTTATGACCCAGCAGTAGATGGAGAGGCAGTTTTTAGATTTATCTTTTTTCATTGGGTAATGTTCCAAGTTGTGACATGATCAAGAGTTCACAATGTCTGGTTCTGAAAATGTTCTGGTTTTGAGCTGAACAGAAGCAGTCAGAAAATCCCAGTTACAAGAAATTAGAGCTCTTTCTGGATTATCAAATCCAAATGCAATTTTAGAGTTGTTTTTAATGAGACAAAGAATTTTAGCTGCTGTTGGTATAAACTATAACAGCAAGTAATAAATATGTCTTTATAGTTTTATTATTGTATATTATGCAATAGTCACTGAAATTCACATGGTTTGTCAACTGGTTCGCAATTCATATCAGGATTTTCTATGTGTTATTCTGCAGTATACTGGATCTCATACACTGCTTAAGTGGTGGGGAAAAAGTGCAGCCAAGCAGAAAGATTTGTAACTTAGCCAAGACAAAGTGCAATAATTTAGAAATTATAAAGGTAGAAGCAATTAATACATGATGAATTAAAAATAAACTTGAAGCAAAATAATTTTTAATGAGATGGCTTCAAGTCTGCCTGGTATTTGTGAACACTTCTTTTGCAGGTGGTTTTTTGAAGTACTGGGATATCCCAAATCTTCAAAGGCCAACATCCTCAATGGTGTGCTGATGACAGTTGTGTTCTTCGTGGTGAGGATTGCCGTCATGCCTGTGTATTACAGCCACGTCATTTCTTCATTTGGAACAGAAGGTTTCCGGAGATTAGGATTTGCAGCCCAGAGCGCCTGGATTATCTCAAGTGTTGTCTTGGATATTATGAATGTGATGTGGATGATCAAAATTGCAAAAGGATGCTACAAGGTCATTTGTCTTATTGGACAGGAGGAAGCGAAAACTCATAGAAATGGAAAATCTGCCTAGAAATCATACATAAATGAAATTTCTGCTATGAAAATAATTTGGGTTCACTGAAACAGTGCACATTTCTGCCATGGAATGCTCCTGTTATGGAAACAAGGTATTACCTCTGTACTGACCTTACTCTTTCCCTAGCCACACTGCCTGCACACCCAGGGCCACGCTTTGCGGATCCTGTCCAGTGAGGAATAAAAGCAAAAGCTCACACAGATGAGCTCCACATGCCTGTTGTAAGCAGTTGCAAGCATCAGAAATTAGAAAGGAGCAGACTGGTTACTGCTTATTGTCCACCAGTGTGTTCAAAGTGTTTCTCTCAGGTTTCTCTGATTAAAATGTTTTATAAATCCAGTGAATACTGACATATCTGTTTTTTTAGAAAATGAAAAATTCCCCAAACTCCTGATATGGTGCAATTTTCCAGGCACGTTTCTATGTTTTCTTCTAGGAATAACAATCAAGATTTCATTCTTGACAACTTTTTAATTTTTGCAAGAAAAGCTAAAAATTTGGCTTTGATTCTATGAAGTCTTTTACTGCTTTTTGTTCTGCCTTATATGAATGCAAACCATTTTGGGAAATTTTGAAATAATTTTATCTAAAATGCTGTATTATAAGACCACGTGATATCTTAAGAGCTGTTAAAATTCTCCCATTGATGGGAAGGATTCCCATGTGATGTCCTAGGTTACATGCAATAGTACATCATCTAAATTCCCCATGGAATGTTTTTTGTAAGTTAATATGGTAGGTGATGTGTGGAAATGGCATAGTTCTTACTGAAGTGCTCTTTCCTTTGCTGCTACTACCTTTGAGAAGTGCTGCAATTCTTCTCAGAGTATTTTTAACCATTGGCTATTTGGATTCAAAGTTTAATTGCAAAGATATAAAAATCTTCTGTATATGTGATGTGTAACTTTAAGTAATACTTTTTTCTTTTATCACAAAAATGGCCTGTTTGATATGAATTGTTGAGGGTTTTTGTCACATTTTCGATGTTAATCAAGTCAGAAATCCAAGGTCTGACTAAGAACACTCTTGAACTAACAGTGCCAAACTCCTCTAAAACTGTATGGTAATTCTGTAGAAGGAACAGTTGACCTCTATAGACACAATTCTTTGTTGTTTTAAACCACAGGTTTGTCAATAGATACTCAGTTAGTCTGTCTGTGAACTTGAAGCCTTGGAGGTCATCAGAGAGGAATCTCACCATCTAGGAATAGTCCTAAATCTCATTTGTGATACAATTTGAGGAAATTCTGAGTTATGTTTTATTTTAAATTATTTTGAGAGCTATAGTTATGTGTAAATTTGTTTTGTTTTACTTCTTTTATCCGGAATTGTGACTGATTAACATCTGTTTTTTTTTTCCTTGGTGTAGGTGTGGTAAAAGTGTCCATTTTCACTGCGACTTCGGTGCACATCCCAATTATTGTAGCAATCTGTTAAAGCAATTTATTTTTAAATAGAAAAGTAGCTTATTTACCCTGCGTAGGTGATTAGTCCTGTTCCCTCTGACAAAGCTGGGTGACATGAGCTCTCTCTATAGTCAGAGGTGTGAGTGGCCTGTGCTGTCCTCCCTGGTGAGGAACTAGGCACTCCCCTCATCCAGAAATTGCATGTATGACCCAGGAGAACTGCGTAGGCTGAAATGCCTCCTAACCAAGGCAGCTGCAATAAGTTTAGTTCCCCAGCTGAAATGCTGTCAGGGAGTATTGTTTGGACTTGTGTAAAATGCACTTTTGAAAGCCTTGTTCCATTGCTCAGCTCAGCAGGCTTTTTTCTAAAAGTTTCCCAATCCTGCCTTGTTGAGGGAGATAGCAAGGATTGTCAGTACTTGTGGGTTTGGATCCCATGGTTATTAACACTTCACAGCCTACAGACAAAAGATCTGTTTATGCCTTGGGAGAGTTAACAATTCATCTCTTGAGCTGTATGATCTGAGTGAGTGCAGTGCCTCCTTTGGGTACCAGTAAATCCACAGAGAGTCCATCCTGCTCAAAGCAATGGACTCTCTTTTATGCTCATTTGCAGAACCTGGTATCTTTTAAAACGTGATTTCAGTATACCTGTTGCAAAATAATCTTTTATTTACTTTTTACATCACTAGATCCCTGTGATTAATAGTTTTGTAAAAGCTTGTTCCTTTCTAAAATTGAGTAAATTCAAGCGTTTTGGAGAAGTAGGCTTGAAAATAGAAGTCTGCTTTTCTTTTTATGGAAGTAGGATTAAAAAATTGATAAGATGATTTGGAGAAACTCTTAGGGTGATAATTCATGAAAAGTTTCTGAAATTTATAATTTCTTACATTGATTTTAATATTTCGGTATTTTAAATATTTTGTTGTCAGTGGAGGCCATTCATTACAATGGCCTACTTCTTCCACTTCTAGATAGACTTGTGTTTGATAGGGGGAAAAAAAAGTAAGTCAAACGATAATAAAATTGATGTTAAAACTAGATTTAGAAACAAAAAACAATCCAAAACTCTGCATACTACACTTTGGCCAACAATCCAGGATTGAAGGGCAGTGAGATAATTCTTTTAGAACAGCTAGTATTTTGGATTGCTGCACAAAATTAGTGTAATTAAAAACCTATTTTGCAATGCATTAGATCTAAATTTTATAATTTTTTAAAAAAGTTATTACAGTTATGTCCTGATGCATCAGAAGAAAATTTTCTTACTTAAAAAAAACTATTAACAGCTGTGGTTTCAGCAAAGACTTCAGTAAACAGGCAGCAAAGTTGTGATGTACTGAATACAGTAGTATATAGGGCACTTTTTACCTGCCATTAAAAGCTTATAATACAGCAAATTAGATAGCTGTGGCACCCATTTTTTAATTGCACTTTATTAATTTTAAAAATGTTGTGAAATATTGATAAAATTTAATGTTGTAAGCTTGTGTCTTTGCTTTTTTTATGCAAACAAGTAAATGCATGGTAATTAGCATCGTAACAAATGCTTTTGAATGTGATATCTTATTAGTGGCTTAAAACTTTATTTTTCAACAGACGCATTGTAAAAGCAGACTCCTGGCATGTCACCAGGTGTCTTTTCTGTGGGCATATCAAATGGAAGGAGTGACTCCTGTAAAAAAATAGCTTGGTTTTCTTTTCTTTTCCATTCTTCAATACCAGGTGACAGTAGCTTGCTGATCATGAGACAGACTGTTGGTACCAGTTAGGCTGTATGTAGAAATGCAAGTTTTCCTTTTGTATGGCTTTAATTTTTCATCAAAAGATGAGTAAATACCACTTTCAAAACTGCAGGAGAGTGGTAGGTTAGGTGTTCTGTAATGATTTGTGGAATCAGTACTTGCAGAGAGGAAGTATACTTCAAATACTCATTTTCTCAGAGTGTTTCAGTGGATTTCAGTGGAGGCTCACACAACAGGGATGCTGTATGGGTTATCTGTGTGAATTCTTCAGTGGTAAGAATTACATCTCTGAAGCATACTTTACCTCTATAAATACGTGTTATGTTGAAGGAACTCCATAATTTAATAACTTAATTGCTTAAAACATATAAACCATTGAATAATGAAATATGTACACAGGAAAATGAGGGGAGCTGGCTTCATATATAAATTCTTAACAATTCCAAATTATGTACTGAAGTTTATTAAAAGTTTAATTCGTTACAATGTTTTGAAGAGAATGACTTCCATCTTTGCTTCAAATATTGTGGGAGAAAATTACTCATATTGCAGAACTAACAACCTAAGGGTAAAAGCCTACACAAGTGAGCAAATGCATTCAGGCAGCTTTAAAGAGGAGAGGAGGAGGAGACTTTGAGTACACACCTAGAGATCCAGATGTCTTCCTACTGCTGTGCTTGGGACAACAGCAGACAGATAAATAGCAGGAAGGTTTAGGTGTTTGTGTCTGTGTTTGCGATGGAAAATTAAATTTTATTCTTTAGAACTTTCAAGCTGTATAAAATGGAATACCAGTTGTTGATTATTGTATGAAGAGGACTTTTTCTCATGGCTTTGTGTGTGTTTAAGCATATGTATGTTCAAGCTTTATGTAAAAGACCATTTAATAGAGAAGTCTGAAAAATTGTTTTGTGATGCTTCTGCTGAGCCAGTCAGGAAAATAAAGGGCTGCTTGACAATGACTCCAGCTTAGGGTCTGGTGTGCTGTTGGCTGCTGCTGAAAGCCATCAATGAAGCAAACAGAAAGGGACTAGAATTTTCAGATGAAAAAGTGCAAGTGTAGAAGACTGAAAACTATTGCAAGCCCCTTTCATATTTTAATATCCTACAGTACAACAGCATTATCTGGCTACAAGGAATTGCACGAGGGAAAGTTTGTTCCTGGTCAGATTTCTCTGTCTGTGGAATACAGGCAGAAAAAGAATGGTACTTCATTGCTGATACCCTGATTGATGGCAGCCAGATGGAAATAGTGATAATATTTGTGAACTTTTAACCTTCATCCAAACCTGGATAAAATCTGTGTTAGGTGAAGTTCTTAGGATTTTCTGAAAGCAACTTGAAAGTTGTTTTTATGGCAGAGAAGATGAAATATGTGCTGCCTAGGTTGTTTAGAGATCTGGGATAAAGCATCAAGTCATACTTTTAGATGGTAACACTTGGTAAGGTTTCTTATCCATTAAAAAATTCCTACTAGCTACCTCCTTTCAAGTCTTGTTCTATTTATAATAACCAAGCACTTTATAGCTCAGTAAAGAATGGAAGGTAGCTATGAAGAATAAATCATATTGTTTGGTATAAGAAATATTTTGGCAAAATTTCTTCTGAGAACAGTTTCATGGTGTGATGTCCTGCACTGAGAGGGCATCTGTTTAATACGAAGTATATACATTTTTAACCTAGTTGTGAGTAAAAGAAGTGTCTGTAAGAGAGTGAAGTTCGAAGAGATCAGCATGGCATGGTATCAACCACATAATGATTCAGTGTGCTATTTATAACTTCCTACTTACTGAAATTGAAAATATAAAAGCAAATAAAATATTCTGTATTGTATCTTTATTTTTAATCTATGTGTGGGATGTCAAATATTGTACTTGTCTTGTGGACAGGACATGCTTTTATGAGCCTATAAATATTTAAGTATATGAGAATCTGCACCCAAATGGAACATGTTGCATGTCAATTGTCTTCTAAGTTTTTAAATTTTGGTATTTTTAAAAATTTGCTAGGTTTGAAAGCAACATTTAAATATGATACTAAGCTGTAATACAGAATACAAAATTTTGAATGCAATGTGGTTTTGTTTATAGTAATCCTATTCCAGTTTCACAAGAAACACCAAATCATAAGGGGAAGGGAGGAAAAGGGCTAATCATGAGCTCGGCTATATAATTTGCACACTTAATAT